ATTGAACTCTTCAATGAGATATCTGTTGTAATTTGATTATAAATATGATGAAGAATTTGAGGTGAAAATGAATTAAATATCCATACTGAAGATAATATTGATTTTATCTGTGCTGGTATACCTCTCCATATTTGAATAGATATAAAGAATAAACAATTGGTGTGCCTAGTTTTATATAATGATTTAGATAATATTGATGATTCATTTTTTAAACAATTAACAGCATCATCTAAAACAATAATTGTTTCTAATGGTTTATCACTAAATTTATCTAAATATAAACACTCTAATATAGATTCATCTTTAGGTATTTCTTTTCTAATCATTTTATTATAAGTTTCTTTAATTTCAAGATATTTAGGATAAGCTTTTTCAAATTGATCAGATGTAAACTTAATAATTGGAATATTAAGTAAACCCTCATAATGTAATAAAGTTTGATCACTTCCTGTATTATTAACCCAAATAATAAGATGAAAACTATTAGAAACTTTATCTATTTTAATAAGTTCTTTACAAATAGACGTTGTTTTAGAACATCCAGGTTTACCTATTAATAGGTTTATAGATCTATGTTTTACAAAAACTTCTGGATGAATAATATTCATAGTTGTTTCTGATTTATCAGGAGCATATTGATTAATTAATGTATTTACATATTGATTAAGTGACATTTTTAACAAAAATAATAAGCATATTTTTCATATTTATTTAAGGTAATATTTCGATCTCTAAAAATTTAATAGTATTTCCATCTTTATTAATAAATTCTATATAATCATTAGCCTTAACTTTAAATAATCTTTTTTCACCAAAAGGTTTATCTATTTTATATTTATTTTTAGATTCTAGAATAAATTTAGATATCTTAGAATTTGCAAAATATTTATTATTATCTTTATCAATAAGTAAAAATGATTTTCCAAATTTAGTATTAATTTGTTTAATGCTAAATATTACATAAGTAGTTAAACGTTCTAATTTATTAATTGGTTGTTGAGTAGTCATCTCTTTTTTAAGGAATAAAAAAATAAAATATTTATATAATTTTTAAATTATTGATAGAACAATCTAATGGATTTTCATAATTTAATAATTTAACTGTACATATATTCGAAAATTCTGGTAAAAATTGTTGTGCAACTAATCTTCTTAAAGAATGTTTTTTAACATGTTTGTTTTCAGATAAATTAACATAAGCATCATATTTTAAACTTGGTCTTAACATAATTTTTATTATTTTATTTTTCTTATTATTTTTAATTTGTCCTAATCTATTTATTGAATATTTTGGATTAATTTTTAAAATTTCAAATTCTTCCAGTGAAGTCATTTTAAAGGGGAAAAATAAAAATTTAATATTAAAACTTTTTAGAAAAATAAATAGTTACGTTTTCAATTTTATTTTTTAAAATAAAAGTTTTCTAAATTTTGGGAAAATTTAGAAAACGATTTGACGAGAAACTCATGCCGAAGGCTGAAAACGCGTCCTCGCGATTTTAGTTAAATTATTAGAAAATATAGGTAAAATGGGTGGTGTCCAAAATCTACATAATTTATATACTACTCCAGAATTTGTTTTTTTACTTTTGTTATTTTTTTCAGAGAAAACATGCAATTCGATGATACTTCTGATGATAATTATTTTTCAAGTGACGATGAAAATGAAAAAAGAAATGATCCTGAATTTTGTGACAAAGATGAAAATAACATTCAAAATTTTATAGAAAAAGAAGATTTACCTGAAAACGTAAATAAAACAGTTGAAAATGGATGGGAAAAAAATAGAACCCAGAATCGGGAATTTCTCATTTAAAAATTATTGCAACGAAGAAAATTTTTCAAAGACTACTTTTTTCGAAATATTTGAAACTCCACTTGACTGTTTTAGAAAAATGTTTTCCTTTGAAATGACAAAATTAATAGTTGATGGTACAAATTCCAAGGGTTTGGAGCTATTAGAAGGGAATTGGCGCCAAACAAATTATGAAGAAATAGATTGTTTTCTTGGAATTATGATCTATATTGAAGCCCTTCAACGTAAAGGCAATACTGACAGACTTTGGAGTCAAAAATTCGGGATTTTATTTTTAAAAATAGCAATGGAAAGAAACAGGTTTAAAGAATTGTTTAGATGTTTTCGTTGCGAAGATAAAAATAAAAGAGAAGAAAAAGAGAAGAAACAAATTTCGCAGCGGCAAAAGAAATTTTTGATGTTTTTTCCTGAAATATTACAGTTGCTTGTAATCCTGATTCTCTAATCTGTATTGATGAAAGAATGTTTGGTTTTAATAGCAGATGTTCAGGAATACAATATTGTCCTGCCAAACCAACCAAACACGGGTTAAATTTTTATTGTATTTGTCTTTACGATAAAAAATATTGTTGTGGAATGACAATTTATGAGGGAAAAAAAGAGTAAAAAACGGGATGAGTCACGGGAGTCGATTGTTTTAAAATTGGTACAAAATTTACCAGACAAAAAATATTTGTTACAAAGTGATAATTACTTCACCAGTTTGAAAGTAATTGAGGCTTTGGAGAGCCAAAACATTGGGTATATTGGCACGATGAATAAAAGAAGCCAAAATATACCAATAGAAGCAAAGAAAAATACTCAATGTGAAAAAGAAAAAAATATTCTAAAAAAAGAAAAAAGAATGAAAAAAAGTTGGAAGAAAATGATAAAAAATTTGACAAATTGTATGAAAAAATAGTAAAAATTGGAGAACCAGCTCCAAATAACCGTACAAAACGGGAAAAATTTAAAGAACCGGCTATTCAACTTTGGGAAGAAAAAACAACAATTATGACGGAAAAAATGGAAATCGAAAACGAAAAGAAAGAAATGGAAGAAGAAAAAGCTAAAAATCCACAAAATATCCGCTTTTATTCAAAAGATAATATTCTTTTAACTTCTTTCAATCCAAAACAGAGCAAAACAGTAATTATTATTTCAAATACAGTTAAAATCCTGATTATTGACGAGACAATTGGTAAATTTGCTCTTAACATTGTTTACAACTTTACCAAAACACCAATTGATACTTTTGACCAATTGTGTCAGGCGTATTCTTGTAAAATGAAAACCAGAAGATATAATATGGTTATTTTACAAAATATTGTTGATTCTTGTTGTACAAATTCATATTCCATGTTCGAAAAACAAAAAATGAGTCATTTTGATTTTTTGATAAAATTGGCCGAACAATTGTGTAAAAGTTACATAAAAAGACAGTTATTACACGGGATGAAAAAAAAGCGATGAAAAAAGAATTGTTTTTGTTTCTTGTGGATTGCTTGAATGGTGGGACGAAGTCGTTAAAACCCCAGTAAGAAAAACCGAAAAAACAAAAGAAAAAAACACGAAAAAGGAAATTAGAAAAATATGTCAGTTTTGCAAAAAGAGAGGATAAAAAAGAACTAAGAGAATATGTGAAGAATGTGGACTTCCTTTTGTGATGAACACAGTCGTGTTTTCTGTAAAAGATGTTATTAGAAAAAGTGCATTGAAAAGTCTAAAGACAATCATTGAAAAAAATAATTATTAATTAATTATTAGTTGTTATTTGTTTTATTGTCTCTATTAAAAAAACAGTCAATCTGAAAACATTGTCCGGGCATTTTTAGACCATTAAAATTAATATATTTCGGGAAACTATTCGAAACACTCCCAAAACATTGTTTCACAATTTTTACTGGTGTTTCACCGTTTTCCCTAATCCCCAAGTTTTTAAACTCATTTCGTGTGAAATTTTGTCAAATGGACAACGTTTCATTATCTTTATTGACATATTGAATAATTTTTTGTATTCAATCATTTATTTTATAAACCGAAACACTAATACATTACAATTAATTATATGATTGTATGTTTGAAACACAAAAATTGGTTAACAATCGATCAGCGCCAACATCAGTTGTTTTCCTAATCGTTATAGTGGTTATTTTTTATCGAGACAATGTACGTTATTATTTGAGTAACAAGGTATGATTGATGTGTGTTATACTTTAATACTCCGTGAGATAGTGTAGGGTTTTGTGGTTATGAAAAATATGTGTTGCTATTTTTAACCTCAAAAACAAATCTTAGGTAATTGAGTCTTCATTTTTTAATTTTTTGACTAAGTTTTGGTCCAATTTTCGGTTTTTCGGCCAAGATGGGGTTTTTGGTCTTTTTTAAAAACTTTTTCAAAGAAGGCGTTTTTTCTCTTTGTTATTGATCATATAAAAATTTTGGTTTTGGCCAGTTAAGTGTTAACTTGTTTTGAATTACTTTGCTCTGGTTTTTTAAAATTCGTACCGCTTTGTCTTGTTGCAATAACTCTTGCGATATGTTGTATTGTCAAATTTGATGAAAACACAATTTTGATTATATGAAAGCTTTTATACTTATGAATGTTGTTAATACATACATCTATTTCATTGGCTTTTGTAATATTTGGAAATTAATAGATGACGATGTGTGTCCTCTTTTATGTCACGTATGGTGTGGCTATTTATAAATGTATGTTGTTGTATCAACTTTTTTTATGTTGTAAACAATAAAACATATTATTAAACGTGGTTATTAATTATTAAAATGTTTGCCAATTAAAGTGACTGTTAATATTGAAAAAAATGTATTTTATAATACCATTTTATCGCAATGAATTGTTTTATAATTATAATTTGTATTTTATAGCAAAATTCTTAATTTTAATTTCAGATAATAACAATTATAAAATGTAAAAATAGAACATAATAAGAAAACATAAAAATTAAAGCCTTGGTTGACTATTGGACAATATCTCGAGGCGACTTTGCCTGACGATGAGTTTCTTGGCTCTGAACGTGAGTGAGTCTTGTGCGGCTCTTTCGGCGTTTATCACTATTAATTAATCACTTGTTCAATTTTTTCAATTCCGATTTTTTATTGCAATAAAAAAATAACAAACTTTTGGCAACTAAAAATTCTCCAAATTGCTCTGAGTGTTGGTAAGCATCTGTGGTGATAAATGGTGCTACTGGCGCCACTTCTTTTTTGCACCAGATATTAACAGAATATTGGAATTTGTCGGGTGGGTTGTTTTGCGACACATCGCATCCAACAACAATATAACAGTGACTGTATTGCGTCTTGAAGCTTGAGACATCAATGGGTTCGATCACACCAGAGTACTCTTTGAATATCAACACAACAACATCGTTCCCAATATGTTTCTTTCTTCCAATTTGTTGTTCGTTATTCTCCATCAGTGGCATATATGTTGACACATGGAACATGATTTCAATGTTATCTCTTGAAAATCGTCGAGAAACGCAATACTTTCCCATTGACCGATTTTTCGTGTCGAGTCCTCCAGCAAACCCTCCGAACCCAAAAAGTTCTGTTTTGGTCCCAAGTAATTCCAAGAATTTTTCAAAGTGCTCCGACCCATTTCTGTTGTTATAAAATTCTCGTTCTTTGGTTTGTCCGATACCCGCATAGAGCACCCCAAATTTGTATCTATTATATATGAAAAAGTCCTCAAAATTCATGAGTGCGTTGTACATTGGAAACCCTCGAACCGATGCAGCCGACTTCTTTTTATAGTCTGGAAATAGCTCCTTCAAGATTTGTTGATCAGTCTTATTCTCATACGTCTTTCGAGTGTCAAACCGCTTTGTCCTGACAATCACTCTCTTCATCTTTTTCTCACTAAATTCGTCACTAATGGACACGACAATCGTCTCATTCTCCGAATTAATGATATAATTAGTGTGATCATTTTCCCGAAAGAACACGCTGTAATAATGTGTGCACGCTTGTGGATCATGCACGTTATTCACCAACAAATTTTCATATTTGTGTGTCGTACACGTGAAGAAATTTTCAACGTGACTCTTGGTCGGGAGACTTTCCAAGTCGATTAAAATCGGTTTTGACATCAACAACGTCTCCGTCCATTGTTCCACAGGAAACACAATTGTGTCAAACGTTTCCGACATCTCCTTAATTTGTTCGTCGCTCATTCTCGAGTCAGCGTACTTCACTCTGATGATCTCCATGAGCTTCTCCATATGTCCCTTTTCTTCTGCTACTTGCGACAAAGGTTTCTTTTGATACATCTTTCCGATATCCCCGCCGTATCGAATTAACAATTCCATTAATTTGACATTTCCTTTATTAACTGCGGAGTACAGCGGAAACGCTCCATTGTTCACCGAGTGATTGACGTCTGCCCCTGATTCACACAATATTTTAATCGCTTCGTCATTTAATGAGTTTGTGCACACCAGAGTGAGTGCGGTGTCTCCTTCAAACGACGCGTCGTTCACATATTTTTGTCGCATCTTTTGACTCTCTTCGCTTTTATTGTCAAAATCCAAAAGCAATTTAAGAACTGGAATATATTGTCCCAAATTCTTGTTTTGGCATAAATAGTGCAATGGCGTTTTCATTCTTTCGTTCTTCACTAAACGATCGGCGCCTTTCGAAAGAAGTAATTCGACTATTCGCATCACTATTTTATCCGTGTGGAGCGCCACATGGAGGGGCGAATATTGATTCTCATCACATATATTCGGGTCAGCCCCTTTTGTTAATAACATCTCAACAACATTTGCATATCCTTTTGCACAAACATGGTACAAAAGTGTCTTCCCATTCACGTCGTAATCGTTCACATTATACTTCTTGATGTACTTTGAAATGGTCGTTTCAGCGTCTTTCTCTGAGATGACTTTGGCAGAAGTCATCTTGTCGACTACGTCGGAAATCTTTTCGGACGAAGGCAAAATGGGGCATGACGCAATCCAGAAGTAAAACATGTCGTCCGCCAAAACAGGGACGCCTGGAATGACTTTGAAGACAAACCCATCACAAGACACCTCCTTTGTTATTTCTTGTCACACTCAAGTCGATATAAAAAAGACCAACAAACAACTGGATTCAGTCTTGTATTCACTTTAATAATTTTCGGGAAGAGAACACAGACAACTACATTCGGCGCGGTTGGAAATGGTTGTGGAAATCTGACCGAGTATGTGTCGGTCGACGCAGAACTTTTCTCAATAGTCCCCGAGCAAAAGTGTTCGCCTCGAATAGGAAAATAATTCACAAGTGTTCTGTACTCCTTCAGCATGCCTAGGCTTTGCATAAACCCACTTTGATACTTTTCAAGTTTCGCTCGGAGCTCGATGTTTTCTTCTTCAATCTGGAGACAAGCAGCGTCCACTCTTTCATCTTCCGAGGATTTGTGTTGTGATGAAAAGTCGCTATGAAAGTCCGGTGTTTTGGAGTGATGTGAAGGCAGAGACATTAATTTCGAGTTTTGAGTTGGAGTCTTCTTCTACTACACTGAAATAGTATATTTTATAGTAGTTTTAAATTAGAATGGAACTATATGAAAAACCAATACTTGAAAAACCAGTTGTTCGTTTATAGTTAAAGTACTATTAAAATGTATTAGACATTACTATACACAATCAATTCAAAAATAGATATTACGAGGGTGGGCAAGTTCCATCGATGATATCACCAAAAGAGTTCAACGCTACAACATAATACGTTTTACTTTTCTCTTTAATTGCAGACTTCATCCACCACTCTTTGCCTCGTGTTCTTTGCATTAATACAAAGTGTTTTGGTTTGAAAGAAGAGTAAAAGTTTCCAAATGCATCTACAAGGGCAATATAAACTGTTTTGCCTTCGAAGTTGTAGGGTGTTGCTTGGAAAGGGAAAAGATGTGGTGTTTGTTTCGGGGAGCGAGGAACAAAAGAAGAGCGACTCTTTTTGTGAGGTTTGGTCGTGTGTTCACGGCTGTTGATTCTGTCCAACTTTTCTAACATAGTTAATGCGTTCATTTGATTTTTTAAAGTTTTTGAAAGGTTTTTTAAACATGGAGTTAAGATTCATTAAATATTTTAATGATGGAATAAATTATTCAATATATCATTAAACTAAAGTTTTATCATTATTTTACTAAACTCAAGTGAATAGAAAAATTATTTTTTGAAGTATGAGACACAAATTTAATTTATGAGGATATAATTCGTTGATTGTTGTATTTTTATATTGAGGTTTTCAAGTTTCATAAAAAGTTTAAATAAATTATGCTTGATTGTCTCTATGATTATTTAAATTATTTTTATAATAATAAAAACCAATTATTATTATTTTTATTTATATAATTAAAACCATATTAATAATATATGGAGTTTATTATTTAATTAAAATTTAAACCATAAAATTGTTATATATTGAGTTATAAAAAGATTAAGAACAATTCAAAATCATTGTTTTAAAAATCAAAAAATATTTTTTTTGTCCATAAATAGTAAAAAAAATAATAATTTAAACAAGTAAATTAAAGCAATTTGCTTTTATCAAGGAATAATATATTATTTTAAATTAATTTAATATATTTTTATAGTATGATAATTAAATATAATGGAAAAATACATTTTAAAAACATTATAAATTTATGTAATTTTGTAAAACTTTTTTGTTCATAAAATCGAAAAAGTTCTTTATTTACAATTAAAAAAGTTATTAATTTAGACAATGATTTTAAACCAACTTTAAATAATTATTAATAGATGTAATATATGTTTTTTAAATTAAAAATTCTGATACAAATATTTCAATTATTATAAATATAACAATGAGCATTGAAATTTTAATGATACAGTCAACCTTTTAAAAGTTATCTGGTACCTTTTAGACCATAAAGATTAGAATATTTAGAGAAGCCGTCCCAAAAATTAATCCCAGTTGTTTCGGGGTTTTTCACGTTTTACCTAATATCAATGTTTAAACAAAATTAAAGCTTTTTTAAGGACCAGATAACGTTAAAGACTGGATTTAGCAATACTTAGAAAAAAATTGTTAAGTCAATAAATTTAACTTTTTATTTGATCAACACTAAAATGTTTATCAATTAAAAATGGATTTTATTCATTATCATTTAGATAAGTGATCGTACCAATTAAGGCACAAACGATAGGTATTGAGTAAACATTTTAGAATAATATTAAAAATTGCAATAATATTGTAAAATATGTTTTCGATGTATATCAACAAGACGACTGATATTACAACAGTTTCACATATAATTTATTTGAATTGTTTGTACTGAATAAATTTTCTCGTTTTTATCGCATAATATTTTCAATATTTTTTGTTGTATTGGGTTATTTGCACAAAAATTGGATTTTGTGATTGGATATACTATATTCTGATAACATAATATGGAGTACATTTTAATAATAACAGTTGTTTTTATTAATTTGTGATATATGTAAATTGAAAAAAACAAGTTACTTATTGATAAAAGCAGATATTTGATTGGGGTTATCATTTTTTGATTTCAGAAGTAAAAGAAAGTAATAATTGTATAAAAATAACAACATATTTTTTAATAATTCATATTTTTAAAATTCATTGATTTTTTTGAGTTGACTAAATATATATTGTTGTTTAATTATAATATAACTTATTGTTATATAAAATAAGATTTATTTAAAAATCAATTTTTATATCAATTTTTGAACTATTTTTAAAGTTTAAAAAAATATGTTGTTGTTTCAATAAATATATTCAATTGTTTAAATTAAAAACATACATCAACCATAATGTTCAAGGTAAACCAATAACAGTTATTATCAATTCTTTAGTTCATTTAAATAAAAATATGATTATGAAACGTTGTTAAAGTCATTAAAGTTGTTTTATTAACAACAATAAACATATTAAGTTTAAAATTGGAATTAAAAATAAAAAATTAAAATACCGAAAAAGAAATAAAATAATATTTTTTATAAATTTAAAAGTTTAAAATTTATCTAAACAATTGTTAATTAAAAAGTCTTGGATTAAATTGACAATAAAATGGCATTTAAAACCAATTTTAACCGAGTCAATAAAGTGTATAATGATTTGTAATTTTTTTCTAATATATATTTTTTGATTTTAAAACCGTCTTTTGTGCACAAAAGAAAAAGTCATTGTTTCACAAAATATTATGTGTATTTCATTTGAAATTGAATACAAATACACAACAATCAAAACATATTTTTTCGTTCATAAAAAACAGCAAGTCATTAATTGTTAAAATACAGTTCAAAATTATCAGTTTAAAAATTAAAAAAAGAATACATTTAAAATAAAAGATATAATTAAACTAAACGTCTTGTATGTTTAAACAAAGCGAGTCGACAATTTAGTAGATTTAAAACATCACTTTTTAAAAATCTATATCTTTTTAATTAAATATAATTAAAACAAATTTGACGTTTTGGAGTTTTCTTAAAAACGTTTTACATTAAAAGTTGGTTTTCTATTTTTAGTATATTATTCAAAAATAAAAAAGATAATTATTTTAATGATACAGGCGTAATTGATTAATAAAGAAAAAATATTTTATAAATAGCATAAATTTTTTAATCAAAAATAATTATTTTTTTCAGTTTTTTAATTTTCAAAATAATAAAAATCTGATTTTCTCATTTATTTTTAGAAAAGCGATTCAACTCTTCATAATAAATATATTAAAATCAAATATAATTATTATTATAAATTAAGTATATATTAAACAGTTATTTGAATAAAAGACACTTGTTTTATTAAAAAGGTAATGTCTTTTATTAAGTTGATAATTATTTTTATTAATATTTTTGTTTAAAAAAATAATTGTATAGTCTTAATATTTACAATTTTTAACAACACATGTTAAAAGTATGTTTTACAATATTTATATTAGCATTAAGATTACCCAAATTAACAGTTACGTTCAATTAATAGTACATAAGCAATACACAAATCAATTAATTCTGAAATATTACTATAATTTTTGTCATTTTAAATGTATTATAACCTTTGTTTTTAATGTTTGTTGATTAAAACACATTTAAAAAGAAGTTGTTTTAAACGGAATTTTCAATATAAAAAGTTAATCTTTAAATTTACAATGATTTTATTTTTTAATAATTTAAAAAATTGTTAAACCAATTTTTAAATATCAAATATACTATACCATATAGTATATTAACTTAAACACTTTTTAATTAAAAACATTGGTTTATGTTTTGTCAAATATTTTAATTAATAATAATTTTTCTTTTTTTTATACCCTTCAAATGTTTGTATATGTATAAGTAACAATAAACTAAAGCTAAACACGACTTTCATTTTTGGTACATTTTTAATCAACTACTTTTCAAAGATGTTGAATATTATTATTGTTGTTTTTGTACTTTAATTATTCTTTTTATTGAGTTAATAACTTGAATCTATCTATACAACGCAGATTCTATTTTTCGTTTTATATTATTATGGAAATTAAGCTTGCTTATGTAAAAGTAAACGATTGTTTGTTAATTTAATATGTATTCAACGATTTGATCTTTCGTAGTTCATTCACTATTTAAATAAACTGATTTTTGTCAATTTTCAAACGCAAATTATGCTGTCGCATTCATTTTTATCTTTAAAGTCCATCGAATTAAATTCTACTCAATAGTTTAAAAACTCCCAATACAACATACCGCAATTTCAGGATATATTGCTTTTTGTTTTGATTCTCAGTTTGGTGCAATTTGAATTACACCACCCATCACAAAAGATCCCAACTTTTCCCATCTATTATCCTCATTATTCTAATCGCTTTTGAACATTTAATTCCATTCATTATTTTAAGAAAAGACATCTAATTTTTGTCCATTTTTGTGTAAAAATATTAAACATTTCCATCTTTTCAGGTACAAACGTGTTTCCATATCAAGTCATTTTGCCTCAATTATCCAATTCTTTTTGCACCCGCCAAAAGTGCTCCGGCTGTTTATAAATAATGCTGAATGTCTTATTCCGTAATATTTCCCACCTTCTTTATCCATTTAAGTTTAAACATACAATGCTTTCTAAACTTGTTTTCGCTCTTTTCTTTTTCATGGCAAGTGCCAAGTAAATCGGATTGCAAACCAAAAGAAATGTTTTGGCCGAAAACACCCAATTTTACAGAAAACCAAAATGCCGAGTTCTTAAAAATAGATTACGGAACACTTTTTGATGTGGTCTAGAATGGCAGTAACTTGTGGGATATAATGGCTGAAATATAAAAAGCCACCAGTCTAAAATACGACAAAATATTCAAAAAAGGTTCGATGACCAAAATCTTGTTAGAAATGAACTGAAGAAGTGTGTGAATGACCGACGTCAATCCTTTCCGCGAGACACGTAATTACAGGGTGTACGAGCAAGGCGTGCTTCTCGCAATACTCAACCGACACTTCTCCATAACACTTGTCTCTCCAAAGAAGCGCTCTGTTGTAGCCAAACAGTTCTTGACAGTCAGGTACCTTAAAAAGCAGACAGACGTTGTCGACGTCGAGGACTTCATTCAACGACGGTTAAAAGAGATTCAAACAAACGCAATCAAACTCGGAACACCAGAAAAAACAGCAACAAGGAGAGGGGAGAATACAAGGATAGTCGAAAGTATTCACATTTTGATTGATATAGTGAGGGAGTTGGGGTATCGGACTGAAAGCAAAGTGAATGAGGGGAGGAATGGAAACGTCTCAACAGAAACAATAGTGACTATTTACATCGATAAGAAGGTCTTAAAGAAGGAGGACATCGTGAGAAATGGGCTGGCTATTAACAATTTCCTCGACAGTTTACTTGTAGCAAATGAGACAATAATCATCTCTAAGTTCGACAAAACACTGGATGCGTTACTCAACGGGTAACTGTATAACATCGTCGCATGCCATTTATATTGTTATTGAATTGTCTATAACTTTCGTTTCTGACTCGAGAAGAAGTAATGGCTTTGGTGGTTGTTTCAATTTGTTCCAAAATGAACTGAACTATTGAATCACCTTTACGTACCAAAATAGAATATGGTTAGCCTAAAGATTATTGTAAACACTTGGGAATTCACCTTTAAAATAACACCTTATTTTGGTGGCTTTTTTCCAGAAGGAATTTTGGGCAACATCAATAATTACTTTCGTCTTCTGTTAATTCAATGGAAAATCAAATTGAGCAACAACAGTAGAAACATTATTGATTGGGTAATATTTTTTGAAGAATCAGCCAACACGTACTGTTTATTTAAAGTATTGAATAACATAATTGCCATTCACAATTTTTTGAGAATAACTTGATAATTTAAAATAATAACTTTAATAGATATTATTTTCTATAACAATAATATTTAATAATATAAACGTGTAACTTTTATTATTTAAAAAAACACATATTTAATAATAAACACAGTTTTAAATCTTTTTAAAAAGTTTTACAATAATTCAAGATTTTTTTACTTGAAAAAATATACTGTTGGATTTTTTTCGTCAAAATCCAGTAATTATAGACCAAATTGATTTAAATTGATTTTTCTTGTTTTTTCATGTGGTTGAATTTTTCTGAAAACTATGAAATGGTCAAAAAATAGATTTTATTCAAAAAAATCAATAATATTTATTTGATTAAAACATTATTCAATTCAATAACATTTGAAGTATAATGATGCCAATTTGAAACTGGTTAATTGATCTATGTTTATAATTTAAGTTTTTTAGAAAAAAAAAACAAATGTCTTTTAGAACAAATTTAAACAATTTTTTAACGTTGATAATTAAAACTAGACTTTAATAAAATAAACTAAAATAAAAATAAAAAACATTTTATCTATTTCAATTATTTAATTATTGTTGTCTCAGTTGTTTTTATAACAATTAAAACAATATTATTAATATTAAATTATTGTTGATAGAACTTCACTAATTCAAAAATACTATTTTTGATAAAACGACATTTATTTCTTTCGAACAACAAGAAGTAGTTTTACAATGAAAAATTAAATATGTTATATTCTGAAAAAAATATGAGATTTCGATAAAACCCATTTAAAAAAATTTATCGCAAATTTCTATGGAATACATCAATATGAAAATGTGGTCAAATTACTCACAAAACAAATAAAAGCATCGTTGATTTACTTAATGTTTCTTGCAGGTATAGAGGTAAGGATCAGTTCCAATTGATCCGTCGATGTCCTGCAAATACTGTTCAGATGAAATGTAAGCCAATTCTTCATTGACTTCCTTGATTTGTTCGGTAATCTTTTCAGTGAGTCTTGGTCTAGCGACGATCATATCCTTCAAATATTTCAAATTCTTGTTAAGTTTAGCAACCTCTGTCTTTTGTCTCGTCTGTAATCTGAGTTTGTACCATTCACTTGAAAAGACGTTCTCTGGTTCGAACATAGCTCTGAATTCCTTTGATTCAATTGTCATGCCGTTATAACTTCCTGTAGCCATGATGTACAACAAAGCTTTCAATGGTGGGCAAGCACCTTCTACAGTTCCATCTTCAATATAATTACCAGCAATACCCTTATCAGTCTGCGACATGTATTCATATGAATCAGCATAGATAGCCAAGTCTTGCTTCTCTGGTTTCAACATGTCTTCTGGCATGACGGAATTTGGAACAGAGAACAACGTTCTCAAGAAGTGATCAGCAAATGCTGGAGTAATTCTGTATCCAAGTCTTCTGCCCGCGTAAGTCTTTCCGTTATAAGAGACGTCTGGGACGGCCTCCAAGAACCCGTGTTCAATCAAGTACTTTGGTTCTTGTTCGTATCTTCTCATCTTAGACCAAATTTCTGGGACCAACAAAGAGATATCGTGGTCAGTCTTGTAATGTGGGCCACAGTATGACGCTGAGGAAACAAATCCGGAGTATCCACAGCAGATCATCCCCAACAAGTAGTTGTTCAAATCAACAACAGCTGGAAGGGAGTTGAATGGACCTTTAGTCAAAGCGCCTTCAGATCCCGCGCCGAAGATAGATGGTGACGCTCCAGTCATCGAAGTGATAGCTTCCATCAACAATTCTGGTAATTCGAAGTAGTGGAGTGGAGCAAAGACGGAGAGTGGTCTTAAGACAAGATTGCCCTTCTTTTGTGGTGGGTTATTTCTTCTTCCAGACATAACAGCGTCGACTGGGGTATACAATGGATCGGTGTCTGCAAGCTTTCTGTACAATTGAATAGCCTTGAATGTCATGTAAGTAGTCTCTGGGTCCAACATGTCTGGTCTTCTCTGCAAGTATCTTGGGTTCTTCGAATGGACCAATTGGTCACCTTCCTTCACAAGTCTTGGGTGTGACGAGGAGACAATGTACTTCACATCATCCTTCCCAGCAACAAAGTCTTGTAAAGTAACTCTCATTGGTTCAGTGTATTGGTACAATCTAACAACGTCCTTTGTGAAATTAGCAGCCTCTTCTCTCGTCATTGGTTGGTAATTAGAAATGAAGTGACCCGCAATCGAGAAGTCGTGTTCAGTTTGTTTATCAAATCCTCTATACACGGCGTCATCTGGTCTTTGGAAGAGTCTAACTTCGCAGTTCTTCACGATCTTGCACGCTCTTTTGCCAACCGCGTTAATTGGAGTCTTCAACAACTTAGTTGGGACGATGACTGATGCGGTGATATCATCTTCCATCTGCAATTTAGCGCTTGGGAAGAAATCCTTTCTTAACTGGAAGACTCTCCAAGTGGTCTCATCTCTCTCAAACCCTACTCTAAGGTATTGTGAGGACAACTTATTCTTTCTGTACGACAATTCATTTCCTTGTTGCCCGTTGACCTTGTCGACGGTGATTCTTGATTGCCAGTCGCCCTTCCAGTCTTCTCTGTACAACGACTTAATAGTCATGACCAATTCGACGATCAGTGGTGAGATGTTCTTGACATATGTATTGTGTTCTTCAGTGAAGTTAGCTGATGGTGTCAACAATTCAACAACAGCGCCGAGTGTGACTTTTGGGTCGAGGATTTTCAATTCAGCCGCATCCCCGTTCTTTGGAGCATTTGAAAATCTCTTTGAGTAGTCGTGGTCGAATATTTCTTGAACTTTAGCATAGTCTTCCGCTTTGTTATTGATGAAGACTCCTCCCTCAATCACAGCGTCTTTAATGCTCTTTGAAATCTCAGACTTTCCTCCACCAGAGACAGTGCACGGCTTATGGCAGAGTGTGTATTGTGGCAAAATCCCTCTCAAAGTCCATCTTCTTGAAGTCATAGTGTCGTGTAAGATGATGATATACCCATTAGGAAGGACATAATTGACCTTTGGGACTAATAAGATCTTTTGCTCCTTTCCGTTGAAATGGAACTTAATAGACGCCTCTTCAATATTGAAAACAGAATCGCCTGGGACATAAATGATACCTTCGGGGTACTGCTTGTCAAGGGCATACCCTTCTTTCATGATCAACGAGTTCTTATTCTTCTCGGCCATCTCCTCAAATTTGTATCCCTCGGCATATTTCTCTGCATTGCATGACTCACCAAGATCATATGATGGTCGCGCAATAGTTCCACCGGCGTGTTCTTCTTCGGCAAGTCCATACAAGTTCGCCGAGAATGAGATTTGGGTCTTAACTTCCTTCTTGCAATAGCCAAAGTAGTTATCAGCAATGATAGTGCAAATGACTCCATTAGCATCTCTGGCATACATCTTGAAGGTCTTTCCGTCGTTGTACAATTCGTCTTCTTTTTCCCAGCACATGTGTTCCTTCTTTTGTCTCTCAGTAGCTTGTGAAATGTGTGGAAGACCACATTCCTTCTTAGTGATCTTAGTCAAGTGTGGAGCAAGGACAGCCATACCAGTGTGTCCGGTCCAGTTCAATGGGTCAAGTGCGGCATCGTTCTTCAACAACTTGGGGTTACCAGCATTGCCAAAGACAGACTCGACAAAGTCCAAGCAGGAAACCATGTTGCCTGGAACAAAGAAGTGAATTTCAGTCTTCTTTTCGTGCTCAAAACCTTTAACACCTTGAACAGCTGGAATGACTGTTGGTCTCATATAGAGTGACACCCATGATTTGGTTGGGGCTTTGCAGTCAGCAGTGTATGGGATGACCAAGTGGCTATCTGGAGCTTCATAGAATGCAGCCTTCAACATTCTTAAGAAAGCGGATTTGGGGCATTCAATCTTGTCAGTGGGAACGGGGACATCACCTTCACAGATGTGGAAGACACCAACTGTTGTTCTTTTGTCCTTCGATGGGTTGTGCAAGACACCTTGTTTGATTTTGTATGAGGACATGGTCTCACAGAAGAAGTCGTCTTTGTGTGGGGGGAATGACAAAACTCTTCCAAGACCTTCTTGGTCCAAAATGAAAGTGTTGTCTGGGATCTTTGGAATCTCAGTCTTGCATTCGGCGAAGTATGAGTTCAAAAATGTCTGAAGTCGTTGATCGATGGGAGCAGTGACATCTTGGTCGGCCTCAGTGAGGACGTCAACCAATGGCTCAACAACTTTTATTGCTTCGACGTTTTTAGTCGATTGTGGGAACTCGTGGCCCATTACTGAAAGCTTCAAATCAGCTAAAGCCTCGAGGTTTGCCTGATTCAAAACTGGGTAGTCTGTACCTTTCTCTTGATTGAACATTTGTGCTGGATGAGATTTCTGAGGAAGAACTTTTTATTGAACTGCCAAGTGGACGTGACTTGGGATGACTCATTTCTGCTTTGCTTTTTTTTACTCTTGAAGTTGCTTTGTGATCCTTCTTCTTTGGTTATTTTTTAATCTGGCAAAAGGTCTTTGTGTGGATACAATAGTTAGTAATGCCGAAAAATTTTAATACTCGGAATTATTAAATAATATAATAGTTTATGTATAATTTTTTATTATAATAGTCAGTTAAATTATCATAAAAAGCAAAAGAGTCTATGTGTTTGAAGAGGATAAGGAGAATATGATTTGAGGATAGTTTTCAACTGAACATTATACTACTGGGTAAAGAAAAGATTTTCTTGACTTTTTGGGGTTTCTAATCAGTCTTTTCTATACAAATAATCAACTCTTTGCTCCATTTTTGTGGTGTGTTGGTACTATAACGACAAATTTGCCTTCACAAAGGAGATCATTTTTTCACACGTTTTCTGGACAATAATGGCTGTATTTTTGGGGAAGTATCAACGTTTGTTTTAGGTTAAAATAAGCCAAAACATCGGGTTACCAAAAAAGTGAAATGAAAAATTTTAATTAATTTGTTTTGTTATTTTTCGTATTTTGAAACAATAAAAACTTCCCGAAAATTTGGAGCAAAAACTTTTAACTAATTTTTGGTAAGTTTTTTATTTTTTTAATTCCATTTTTTCAAAAACCTTAAATTAATAATTTTTTTATTTTTTTAATTGAAAATTTTTTTAAATATTGTTAATTTATTATTTTATAATAATTAATAATTACATATTTATGGTAATTGCCAATTTCAATTAATTTGTGTAATTAACATACTAAAAATAAATAATTCACTTTTTAATGTGATAATAATTATATTATAAATTATTATAAATCTATTATAACTTATATAATAAAAATAATAATAAAACTTCTAATAAAAATAACAATACAAATTACACATCTTCTTTTCCGCCAAAGAATTTCATGAATCCCGTTTTAAATGAAAGACCTGGAGAAAATGAAAGAGGAGATGGTGTTGCTCGATCTGAAGGGGAACAAGTTTCTGATGCTGACATATGTCGAGTTTGATTCACTCGAATTGGTTTAAAATGTGCTCCAAAGAACTTTGACTTTTCATTGATGAGTAAAGGTGACAATTCTCTTGATTGTTTATTCAGAGGGGAAGAAGAGAGTGGTCTCCCACTAGTTTTTTGTGCGACAAATACGTCGCTTGGACTTATTGGTTGGCTGTTGACTTCCAAATTAGTTCTTTGTTGTTCCTTCGATTTTGCTTTCATCACAGAAATTGATGGTTTTAAATTTGCTGACGATGGTTCATACAATTTTTCATAATAATTTGGGATGAAGTAATTTTCCTTTGAAAAATCGGACCCTTCTTTTGTTCGTGTTGAGTAAAACAATGTTGTTGAGTGGTCCAATTTCCCCAATAAAGTAGTGGGACTTTTAGATTTAGATTTCCTATAAAAGTCTGATAATTCCCTTGTCGACTGAACTATGTAGTTTGAAAGCCCCAACACAGCATCTTCTAAATGTGTTGCTTCTTTCATAATTGGGCAAATAATGGATTTTGTAAATTTGTCCTTCTCATGTTTGATGCCACAGATGTCTGGGTCTAAATTGTCATGAAACCCATCTGTAAATAACAGAACATAATCACCTTTTTCGTTTGGTATACATTTCAAAATAACGTTATTCAGTGAAGGGTTTCTCCCATCGAGTGGTCCAAGGACACTTCCACAGTCCGTCGTACTCTTCCCTTTTCGTCCAGATTTCCCAATGGATTCAAAATTCCCAGAAATTCCATTATATAAAAAAGCTCGACAGTCGCCTATAGACAATAAAACAGTATACTGCTTCATTGATACAGTTGTAAGCGTGAGAGATAACAAAAGTGTTGTTGTGCCTGTACACACTAAGCATGTCCCACTATTCAATAATATCTAAATAGTTAATTATTATAAGTTGTTAGTTTGACTGTTTTAATAGCAATTGGAATGCTCTAACTATAGAGTCTCCACACTTCTAAAACATTTGAAAACAAACTGCAACCTGGGCAGATATTACTGCATCAACTAACAAAAAACCAACGTCTTTTATTGTCACACACGTCTGAACATTTTGTGCAATTTTTTCAATACATGCATCCACTGCATTTTCAGAGGCTTTCTTCGAGTGCTCTCCCCACCCTAATTGTTATTTATGTGTTCTTTATGTATTATGTTTGACAAACCACAACCATCAGCAATGACCCCAAGAACAGCATTGTCAAATTGAACAAATTTGAGTCTATCACAATTCGGTTCCCCTTGTTTCCTCCCATCGACTATGGGGTAAGTGCTAAAGGTCGTCATTGCAAAGTTGGGTTCTTGCGAAATGATAGTCGTTGGCTTTTTGTTTTCAGTGGAGTGTACAAAAGTTTTAGAAACACTGATCGGCATTATTTCCTTACTTGGAAGCGTCTTGATATGCTTCCTGAAACTTGCGCGGACATATTCTTCGAGTTGTGTATCGTGGCTCATGAGATTTCAAGTCTGAACGAGTAGTTTTAAGTCCGAGGGGTACTTTCCTTCTTTTTTTGAAATGTCTTCTAATGTTGGCATTCATGTTATAATCAATTGTCCTTTATATCAACGAGGAATTGGACAAATAAAGATAATTTCAACACGTTTTTGAAAAAGAAAAATACTGGAAAGGAGTCGCCGAATTTGTCGATCTCATATTAATTTAATTTATTTTGAAGGGTAATTAACATTAAAAGTGACAATAATATTAGATATCAGGAGAATAACATAACTCTAAAAAACTGGGTTTATAATAAATTTAACGTGCATTTCTTCATTTCTGGTGACAAAATTATATGGGGTACTTCGCAATACTAAAACAGTCTTTTTATTCAAACTCCAGTGTTATATTTGGAAGATTAGACCATTTTTAGTTTCCCAAAAATGCTTTTCTTCAACACCATCATTTCAATCATTGTTTTTTGAACTGTAAAAGACATCAAAAATAAGGTTTCAATCCATCTATATTTACACCACAAAAATGGGAACTTAACACACTTTTTACAAAATCAGTCATTACCCAGTCTCACTCTTGTAATCACAATTTCCCCACAAGTCTCACACAGTTCAACTTTCATACACAAGTTTTAAATATATAAAACAAAAAATGTGCTCTATAAATATTTAAAAATAAAAAAAATTACATAAAAAACTATGAAAATGTAAAAAGTCACTTTTCTATAAAAAACTCGTAAAACTTGTTGAATTCGACGAAAATGGAGATTCATAAACTGGTTTTCAAAAATAAAACGCCGGAGTTATAAATGAACAACGTAATTCATCATAAAAGTAATCACATTGCATTTGAATTATGGAGGGTATTGATAAAAACATTTTTGGTGTGTTTTGGTTGTAAATCATTATTCGATTGGTGTGTTTGGCATTTATTAATGATGTTAATTATATTGTCCCATTTTTATTTTTTAAAGAATACCAGCAGTACTTTTAATATAATACTTTTTATTATGTCAGAAGACTATTCAAAAATTATATGAGGAGAATGTTTAAAAAAATAATTAATTCGCTTTATTGAATTGGTTTTGTATATTAAGAATTCGTATTTTTACTTGTTAAAAAAGTGGTTTGTGGTAAAAGATAGTTTAAACTACCAATAAGATGATGGAGGTTGGTATTTCATTATTTGAGAAAGAATTATAACCTTCCTTTAAATAAACAGTTTCCAAAATATTATTTCAAAGGATTAATGACACCACTACAATAATTTTCATTAATGCGTTTTTCATATAACATTATTTTTCAAAAGGTAACCATTTTTAGAAAGATTATTTTTTGTAAATAATGATCATAATCTCTGTACAACAATTTGTTTTGGAAAAATGATACAAATAAGTCGAGATAATGTAATTTACATTGTAAAGCGTGTTTTAATGCATTGATTCAAATATTATAAAATCAATTCTTTCGTTCTTTACAATACAAATTTATATTTTTCATTATTCAACAATTGTATGCAATTTTAAAGACAAGTCAATTTTTATTTATTTTTTCAATAAATTTACAAATCAATAATAATACAATAACACAAATTATAAATACATTTTAAATGCCATGATAATTTCAATCTTGGTTTGTCTTTCAATTCATCAAAAATTATTCACATTGACTATTCCTCCTTGCGAAACAAAGTCCCTTTCATTAAGTCTTTATAATAATAAACAAGAAGTGTTTTTTACATGAATTTAAAACAAATTACATTAAAGTTCAAAATAAAAACAAACTGTTTTTTTTCCTCAATTCAATCAATTATAATGGACATTTTATGTCCCAAAAATATCAAAACGTCCGATATAATTGTTAATTTTATAATAATTTAATAGTAAAAATACCTTAGTTTATAATATAACTATTGGTCAAAAAAGCAAAGCATATTAATTATAATATGAAACGAAAAAGTTCTCAAAATACACCTATTAATAGTAAAATTGAATAGTAAAATTACTATTAATTCATTGGTGTAAAATACCACAAATAAAACTTGAAAATGAAATGGTTTTCTTGTTATATTTGGTTGTGCTCATACCATTGACACAATCACAAACATTGTGCATGACTGACTTTGTTGTTTTGAATATTGACGATAACAACACTGAGTACGAAACAATGATCGACATGTGTTACAAAAACATACCGAACTACGAAGAGAAAGTGTTTGGGTACAACATCCACACAGTATGTTACATAGATGATGAGTACATCACTGTCGACTCTAATAACACGCGAATAAGTCGATGTGGTGAATGGCTTTCTTTAGTTGGTCCTTCACAACAGCCGATCAATTGTTTGGTAGCTGGTACAATACGAATAACAAAGGGAGTTGTGCAAGACGACATTAACAGAAAGGTTATTGGAGTCTCCGATAATGTGTTTAAGCGACTGAATGCGAACTTTAAAGGAATATCAAGCGTCATGTCCCAAATTGTGATGTGGGAAATCGACACTGACTTGGGGATCAACCCATCAATGATATTACTCAGTAAGAACGACACAATTGCCAACGTCCAGTTTTATAATTTTAATAAGTGCCCAAAGCACTTACTCGCGAACGGGAAATTGTACCGCCTCACTCCCGATAACATCTTCGAGGTGCCTTTCAACGCGTCGGGGGTATTCGAATTGGTGTCTTTTGATAACGAGAAGATCATCTTTCAGAATGTGAACATCACAGCAATGGACAGTGGAGAAGCGATATCCACTGCGTCAAGATATACCTCAATAGATCAAATTGACTGTTACTATGTTGTGAAGACAGATATATATAACCCCGACGATGTGACTCAGAGTAAATACAAAGCGTGGTCGTTTTATGTGTCAAGTGGCAACGAACAACTGAAGAAGGTCTCACGCCAAAACCCAGTTTATATATCGAATAGCACAGATATCATGACTACTATGTTTTTGTACCCAAATGCTTTTATGATCGCATATGACTATGAAAGTATTGAATTTGTATTTGTGGTGAACGGAACATATAAATTGACATCAAATGGAATTATGTACTACAAAGAGACGGATCAAATAAATCGAGGAGATGTCACACTTGTCGAGTTGAACTTCCCAATGAAAAGTTACTTTGAGAAAGATGGGAAGACGTTACACATTAAAACATTCTTCAGATCAAAAAGTAGAGCGTTCGCAAATTCATTTGCATTTTTGCATAGTCTGAGCGTCGGTGGGTCCCTCACGTTAAAGTCTGCAACACTACATAAAAGAAGTCGACTTCAAAATCAAACGGACTGTGATGCTACATCATTCGACTGCTATAATGTGGAGTGTACACCTAACGCCACTTTATTCCCAAATAACAAAATATGGTCTGCTGAATGTTATCCCGCATGTGGAAGTTGTGGGAGAAAGGAGTATTGTTCTGAAGAAGGAAAGTGTGTCAAAATTACAAGCAAGAACACAAGGAGCTTTGACATCCCAAAGAGTGTCATGTGGTGTGTGGCACTGATATTGGTATTTGCTTTATAACAAATAAATTCTGAATTGTGGTATTCTTTTAATTATTACATATTAACTATTTGATATACTAAAATAGGTTTTACCAATTGATTTGTTTTTAAATATTAGTTAATAGACTATTTCAGGTTATAATATCTAAACTATACATATTAACTATATTTAATAATAAAATATAATAAAATATAATAAAATATATAATTAACATTTTCTTTAATTAATAATTAATAATTAATTATTAATTATTAATAAAAAGTAATTAAAATAATAAACATAATACCGGAATCAAATATTCAATTGAACTGAAATATGGGTACTTTATTTTTAAATCAAGAAAACACCGAATACCGATATAATTTTTAAGAATCATTTATCATTAAAGTATAAACACTAGTAAAAGAGCTATAATATATATAGTAACCTGTCATTTGTAACTTTTGCAAAATAAAAAACTGAAAGAACCAAAAAAAAAAGACACGACTTATTATGACGGGCTGTGCATCGTTTCAAGAAGCCAGTCTTCGCTCTTTAGTAACAACATTTGCCCAAATTAAAAAGAGCAAGACTATTGAAGAATCGCAGTCATATTACAACACCTTTTCGACTGTTATTGATCAAGTAATTGAATATATAACTACATGGACTGGATATATCCGCTTTAATGATGGAGAGATATTTAACCATTTGTACTTACTTTTACAAAGTTTTAAGTTTGTGTTTATTAAGCTAAAAAAATATAACAAGAAGGTACTTCATTCTCCCAACAAACAAGAAGCTATGTCAACCAACAGAAGAATCCTCTCTTGACACTTTTAAACAGAAAATGACGGCATCGTATTATGTTAACACTGTATGGGTACTCCAATGCTATGTCTGTGTGTACTCATTTTTCATCTCTGACATGACAACAAAGTCATTTGAGATCTCAAAGGAAATATTTAAACAAGCGGTAGGGTATGAGGCACATCCTATAGAGAGTCTCGACGAGTTAAAAGCTGAATATACAAAGTCCCTATTTGATTCGATTCGAACACAAAACATTCAAGTCTTTTTATCATGGGAAAATGAAGCTCGCAAATCACTTCAAGTGTTCGATCAAGCCATTCGAAAGGGAAGTGTCAGTGGCGATATGGTGATGAAACAACTCAAACTCCAAATCAAATTCCGCTTCCACTTCCTCACAAACATTCATTCAAATCAATTCAAGTGCGACAACTTCCCAGTCAATCATACCTATCGCAGAGAAATGATATTCACCGACAGACTCTCGAAAATACAAACAACTTCCGTGATTGCTACTCCGGTGCTTTTGGCGTGTATCGACGAGATCAAAAATTACGCATTATTGGATAAACTTAGTGAGACCGCGCCAACGTTTTTCAATTATCTTGAAATCGCGCTGAATGAGTTCGACTTCTTAAAGGGGTACAACGCACTTTTGGTTTGGTTCTTTACTTATTATGGAATATCTTACACAATACACTCTTCACAAAGACTCAATTTGAATAAGATTTTTGGATTCAAAGAAGAACTAACAGACAGAAATCACTTTCCTTTGAAGTCAATCGTAAAGTGTATGAAGACGACATTAATAAGACCTTTGATAAACTCAGAGGACTCTTCGGAAAGCTTTCCGCAGTGACGGAGATGAATGCGAAGACAAATGCGATGAAGATGGAATACGACTTGGTCTTAACTTCCCTTCCCAAAATCAACCATCCCATCAACTCCGTGACACAACTGTACTATAACTTGAAAGAAACAAATGACGCGATATTTACATCTTTGTTAATGCCTTTAACCGACTTAAAACAACTCAGTAAATTGGTCTACACGGGCACATTCCAGTTCAGAATCATGTCCCGAGTCATTGAGATGTACTTCTCGAAGTCGAAGGAATTGGACCAGCTCATGTTGTTGGTCAACGAACTTCCCGTCATACTAAAAACGATGCGAACGAACCAAAGCGATGAAACGAAAACGGAGATAGTCAGTAAGATAGTTGTGATATCGTCGATGATTGATGTCTTAGTTGGTCAAGTGCGATATAAAGAAACCCTTGATTTCAAGTGTATGCAAATCTCAGGGAACATCTTTCCATTGTTCATGTTAAAAGACTATATTCTCAAAACAGTGCACTTGAACAAGAAACTCATTTCAGTGTTTTACTTAGCAAAAGTCTATCGAGACTTGTTAAAGAATTACTTCAACAAACTCATTGAATTGACTCACTCACAAATAGTGGTGTACATCTATCGCGAAATTTCTATACAAAACTTGTTACAAGCCTCACTACAATACGACGAGGGCGACCTCAACCAAGAGGAGAAGATTCAGTCCGCTTTGGAGAGTCTTCAATCGTCTATAATCATCGCGTTTTCACAAAGTGTCGATTGTGTGGAGTTGATCACCGTGTGTGCGGGGAGTTATAGCTTCTCTGTCATCGGCTCCTTGTTACAGTGGTTTTTTAATATAGAAAAAGTGCGAGTGTATATCTTTTCGTTGATGTTTATAGTTTCTACATTGTGTTTAGAGTCGAGTTTGATCATAGACACCAACTCTGTAGTGACTCCAAACCTCTGTGAATTAATTGAAGAAATCAGAGAAGTGAAAAATGAGGTTTTGGAGCGCCAACAGACGAAAGACAATTTCAACGAGTTTTTCTTTAAAGCGTCTGGACTGTGTGGGAAGATTTTTGAGTATCTTTCGTGGGCGCCATCGAAAAGGAAATGTGACTTTACCACCCCTTCAATGATGAGGATATCAACTTATATCAAAACGTGTGTGTTAATCAAGAAATTGATTGATTCAATGAAGAGTGGGGAGAGTGAAGAGAAGCAAGAGATGCTCTTTAAAATGATCTGTGAAGTGCTCAACACGTTCTATAGTTATTATACCCTCGACAAATTATTTGATGTCCGTAAAACGCAATTTCCGGACTTCGTCAGTGTTTTCAATCAATTCAAAACAACGCCAAAAACAGAGAAACAGACTTTTGAGGCAGTCACACAACATCTTCTTTTCGTCATCTTCGAGAGAATTTCCTTTGAAGAATTGTTCTTCGAGTTGGTCTATTTTGGGTCCATTGAAACACGAGAACCAGAGACGGAAAAGGCCTTCTTTGAGCTCGTCAGAAGCTATTTCAATCTACAGAAGTATTTATCCCCATCGATCTCAGACACCAAATTCTCAACAGCAGACTATGTCATCAAAGTAATTGACTCTATTAATGAGTCAAAATTGGAGAATAAAGTCATTGTCTTTGTTACTATATTAGCTAATGTCACACAATTCACACAACTTGCGATCTGCCTAGTTGCAGTGTTTAAAGACTATGAAAGGATTCTAAAAGATGAGTTGGAGCGGTCGCCGGAGTTATTAACTTGGGTTCAAACGGCTTTAAAAACAATCGAGATCTATTCTGTGAAAAATGCGAACATCGACTCTCTGCTGCGCGTCATTGAAATTATCGTCAAGAAGATCTTCTACTTTCCAAAGGAGACGTTAACACTACTGGACCCCCTAGCACAGATCATTGAAGCGATGGAGTATTACATTAATAAAGACACCAATTTTGTGCCTGATGTACTCTTTGGAGCGTTAAAGACGATGATCCTCTGCACACAAAATTTAGAAGAGAACAAGACGTGTCAGATTATGAAGCATAGAGTCTATATCTCGAGCTTTATAACTAAAGCAAGAACACACTTTAGCTTTGTCAAGTGGAGCGAGAATCAAAAGGTCGAAATGTGTTTGACTGCGTTCAGTAAATTGGACGCACAAGTTAATGAACTTTCAGACTATTACTCTCCAGATGAGTGGAAGAAGAAGTGTTGGGACCTCTTTATAAACATAGTCAGTGACGTCGCACCAGTCAAATTCTTCATGGAGTATTTGAAGACGCAGATCAACTCATTAAGCTTCTGTTTGATGCTTGGAATACACTTTAAGAAGGACGTTAAGATGTACTTCTCCACGTTAAACACCATTTTGTTCAAAGCGGAGCAATTACATGAAGTGCTCGAAGTTGGGCGGAGAGTCTATTTGTTCTCATATGAGAATTCACAGATGGAGAACAAAGCCTTCTTCAAGATTCGGAAGATCTTAAAGAAAGAAGAGCGATTCAAAGAAATCAAAGAGCAGTCGAATGCTGTTTTGGATGGCACACATCTTGGGGAATTACTCGACTTGGTGTGGAAGAATGAGGAGCGCCAAAACTCTTTATTGAGAGCAGAGACTGCAGTCACTAAGGAAGGCAAAATGGTTGAAGACAGTAAAGATGAGGACGATACTAAAAAGATGTTAGGCAGTGGAGATGAGGAAGATGAATGTGATGGAGACAAAGTCGAAGGTGAAGAAGATGAATATGATGATGATTTATTGAATGGGAGTGACATGGTGAAGACGTTGAACACTAAAATGCATGATCTGTTCATGACACTTCAGAGTGTCGAAATTGATAAAGGGTCCAAGCCCAAAGTCCGTATAGTCAAACTCTTGACTACAATTGCAGAACATTTCTTTAAGATGGCGGACAGTTTGAATTACAAGATCGTGATGGACAACGTCGTAGTGTTACGAGACAAACTCCTGGAAGACTCTTTGTGTCTTCGAGAGTTATTAGAAAACAGTATTGAGTTACTTGTTATCATTCGAGCAGTGCTTTGTAATGACAAGGAGAAGAGAAAGAGTATCATGGAATACATGGAACTCTACGACAACTTTGGAGAGATGATCACCAAGATCATCTTTGATATCTTCACCTTCTTAAAAGTGTTTTGTTCCTTTAATGTGAAGCGATCGAATGAGACAAAACAGGTGTTGAATCGGATGGTGAGTGGGCTGATCTACTTCTTTGTGACTCCATTGATTGACATCCAATTCCACGACTCGATGTATGTCAACTCGTTCATATACAATCAGTCGATGAAGGATCATATTATAGAAAACTCGCATATTGCCCTTCTCTGTTCACAATTCCAAGAATTTTCAGTAGGGAAGGAGTGGGACTTAATGGAGTTTCTTGATGAAATTGGTGATCGGATGGATGAGTTTGTGACATACGTTGGAGTCAAGTCCGACTCCATCGAAGACGAGTTTAAAGGCATTTCAAGTACACAAGTATCAGAGATGAAAGTGTATATAGAAGACCGAGTGAAGCTTCTTGTGAATAACACGAAGCCGTCGTTCTTCTTTTTGGCGCATTTTGGACTGAAAGCAGTGACGATCACAAACGATATTCAGAACTTATTAAAGAGCAAATCCTCAATCTCATTATTATGTAAGCGGTGCAGTGTTAAGTTGATCTCTTACTTGAAGTGTTTGAATTTAATGATTGATGTGTTTGTGATGATCATGCCAAAAGAGAACATTGAAATGAAGTGGTTAGTGGACTTAAAGGAGATCTTTGCGCGACGGAAGAAGCGAGTGAAGAAGTGGTTTGAGGTGGGTTCGAAGAAGAAGTTTACTGATGAGTTCTTTGAGATCATGTCTGGCTTTGAGAGTGATGTGCAGTACTTAGTCCGGACCATCTGTTTCACATACTTCTTATATTCGTTTATCATTGATGAATTGGACGATATTGTGTATAACATTTCGATGGGGTTTAACTTGAACAAGAAGTATGTGAAAGATGTGATGTTTGTGTTATCGTGTTTCTTAGATGGGTACTCGTACCACAACAAAGTCATCGTCAACGGATTTCAAAAGGTCAGACAATTCAATATGGCTCTCCCCCTCGACTTGAGTCAAATTCCAGAGATCCACGCAGTTATAGAAGAGTTGCGGAGAACAATAGTCTTGCGCTCTAAAATTGAGAAGAGGACGTGTGGCCTTGAATTCGGGAAATTAAAGAGCAAAACAGAGACTCTAGAACAAGAACGACAGCGGTGCGCATTACTCCGAAATTTACTCCAAAACTTGCAAACAATTGATTTTGGCTCAATGACGTTCAGAAGCGATTTTGTGAATGAGTTGGTTGATAATGACACAGAAGAGTCCATTCTTCAATGCGAGAAGAGAATTGAAGAAGGGAAGAGTACCGCAGAGGAAATTAACACAATACGGAACACCATAGTCAACGAATATATCCACCAGATCCTCGGGCTGTTACTCGAACAGCTCACACTTATTAAACAAGCACTTTCAAAAATCGACGCACAAAAGGTGATGTACGTGCAATATTATATGAGTGTCTTTGTGACACAATTGCAGGGCGTTGTGATGTTAATTGAAATTGTCAGACCGGAGGAGAAAAGTGTTTTAGAAGTACTTGAGAAAGAAGCCAAAACAGTCCAAGCGCAATTTACAGGTGAAAATATTGAGAATGTGACACATGAAATAACAAAACTGCCATCTTTGTTGTTCAATGTCTTTGACTCGTTAATAAAATATGACAACAGAAGTGTGGAGATGAGAAATGGGGTGGACAAAGAAAAGACTCAATTACCTGTAGTGCGGTATCTCCTTTTAAAGACTCAGTTTGTTGATTGTATATTGAAGCAAGACAAATTCGATGATATTAAATTTGGTCTGTTTGTCGATGTGATGAAGTATCAGTATCACCGCGTCTTCGGTGACAATGACAGTATACCCGATTTGAAGCTTGAAGAAATGGATCTTGACATCATCCCATACATCGAACAAATGTCGTATGAATTGTTCATGCGGGATATGGTGATGTCACCTCCTGGGACCTCCTTCTTATCATTCAACGGAACGATATTCACGGCGATTTGGCATTTGTTTTACATCATCACGAAAGTGCCACCCGAGCGTGTGAGTGAGGAGATTTCCAAAGTGAATTCCTTGTTACAACTCTTTGTGATAGGAAGTAAGACGGAAATTACCGTTCAAATTCGTTCCCATTTGACAGCGCCTATAATCGAGGATTTAGACTCCGTTTTTGAAGATTTGTATGAGAACATCTTATTTGAAAATGACGACGAAATACAGTTCTTCCCGAATTTTGGGAAGAGGATCATGTTCATACAGTTGATTGACTTATTTAATTACTATGGGATACGAGGAGGACTGATGTACATGCATTGTTTCTTACGAAAGAGTCTAGTTATCCATGAAACGATCCCATGGATGCTCTTTGTGTCTACCATTAACTTCTTGAAATGCACTGAAAAGTTGTTACAAATCAGTGTAGAGGGGATTACTATGGCCAACTGTATTAAAGTGCTTGAAGAACGGATATCCGAAACCGTTCCATCCGTCTTTGGGTGGTGTTTGTTATACTACAAAGCGTCGATGTTGATACAAGAGTTACATCGAGGAGAGTTCAATCGACACGTTATAGTGATGATAGAAATCGACTTGATGAGGACGTTAATTACATGTGCATTCAAGACCGAGATGAGTAAAATCTTTTGTCAAGTGATGGACATCATCGAAGTGATTCAAAAGAATTTGTACTTGATCGAAAAGATCCAATCACAAGAAGAGTTCAATAAGTTCATCACAAGTAAGTTGGTCGATTTTCAACACGTCTGTGCGAAAATTGTATCACTGTCTCCACAAGCAGTCATATACGATCACTCTAGGAAAGGAAATAGAAAGGAATTTGGGGAGTGTTGTTTGAAGATTGTCAATGAGATGCCGATATCCAGTGTCCTCAAAAGTGTCATTGAAGACAACAAAAATGGCGAATACGATTTTATCATGCTGTCCGTCTGTTTGAATCCTATTGACTGCTTTAGAACGAACTACGCAAGATTTAATGTGTTAGCAAATGAGTTGCATTTACTGTTCGACAAATTGACGGGAAATGAAGACACCAAATTCGCAATGAAGTTCCACGGCGCGACACTCCAACTTTCTGATAGTTTTCAGATGATGAAAAACGCGATTAACATCTTCTGTGACATCATCCCAAACGCCGTTTTAATTGACAAGAGAAATGAAATCACAGAAAAGATGGATAAAGTCACGTTGGACGACATTTCCATTGCACAGATCACCGCGTCACTCGAGACTATTCACACAACAAAAAAGGAGTTGTACTCTTTATATACATTTTTCATGTTCTTATTACTCACAAAGACAGTCCAAAGTAACACCTTTGACTGTGCTAATGGACGACAAGAGATGACAAAAAACATGAAGATGTTGTACCCATTGATCGTCATCGTCGAGCAAATCATCGAGAAAGACAAATTGAGTGAAGTCTACTCGGTGTCGAAACAATATGAAGAGCTCTACTGTCTTGTGAAGAGTGGGAAAACGTATAAGACTGAACGGAAACGAATAGAAGAGTTACTCAGACGAATCAACTTTGTCATTAGCTATGTGATGGAATACTTGAAAATCTTTGAAAGTGTTTTGTTCTTGTCGACGGACTTGATAGAGGACGGGAAACACACTGAAGAGGCGGTGATGTACATCAAACAGATATTTGAGATTCGAAAAGACCAATTGAGTGTGTTGGCACAAGAGCGCATGATTAATCCGTTCATCAGAACAGATTTGTTTGTGTGGATGGTCAACACGCAACTGCCAAAACTGAACGACAAAAGTCAAATTAAAGAAGTTTCGCAGTATGTGCGGAAGTTTGCACTTGAGCAGATCTTCGGGGATGTCCGATTTGGCTTCTCATATTGTGACATGTGCAAAGCCTCATTACTTGAAGTGGACCGACTCTGTGAGAAAAAGAAGTGTTCGAAGATGTTGAAGATGATAGGGTACATCCACAGTATCGAACAAACAGAGTACATGAGCTTTTTCTATCGAAATAGTTTAAATGTGGAGAGTTGGGAGTGGATGAATTGTTTCATGACAGCGGGGACGTTTAAAGCGTTTTTAAATTTATTGCAACAAGACACTGTTGAAATAGGGTTTGTGAATGAAGATGAAGAAAAGAAGGATGTGTTAAAGACGCGATTTGTGTATATCATGAGGAATGCGGTCTGTATGGGGTTCCAAAACTTGCGAATCGCAGCCGAGTTGACGGACTGTTCGCTCAAAGGACATTCGATGAAATGTGTTTCTTCGTCGACTGATAATGTTGTTGTGACGTTATTGACTGCAAAGGAGCTTCAGAAGGTGTATTCGTTTTTTTCGACGTTTCGAACAAATGAGGACCAAGTCGTGGAGAGTGACAACAACATTGTGTGCTCTGCAAATTTCTACCAGAGGACTTTGCGACATTTGAAGAACATGTTATTACAAATGGGGGACCCCAAAGAACAGTTTTATGTGCGCGCGTTCATCACTATTCGAGCGCTGATTGAAATAGCACGCGACGAAGAGTTCTTATATGTTAAAGTGATGTACAGTCGGTTGATATCGTTATACACTTTACTCGAGAAAATGGTCGACTCGAACATGTATGAGACGGTGTGGAAGAAAATGTTTGATATTTTGTATATATACAATGGCAATGTGATGACTGATATATCACTGATTGATATCGACGAATTCAAAAAGAAGGTCGACGAACTGTTGGAGTACTTTGAGAACGTCTTTGTGCAGAATTTCAAAAACCACTCACCCTATTTCTTCACTAACGAGACGTTGTCATTACTTGGGACATTGTTCTGCTGCTTAATGGATAACACTATCAATGACATACAAATCAAAACACTCCAACAAATGTGTTCGTGTGCGTTCCATATCTTTGCGTTGGTTAAGAACGACCCGGTGTGGGAAAAGTGCTCGAAAGAGATTAAAGCAGACCCCATCGACCAAGACAAAGTGATTGAAATTGCAGACAAAATGTTCAACGCAGTGATCAACATTTGCGAGAACAGAGACTCATTGGTTCTTATTCTTGAAAGCTTGACTACACTATGGGACAGCT